ACTGGACTGGGGTGCAGGGGGTTGAATTGTGACCTAGAGCAGAGAATTGGGGTACAGGAGGGGGAGCAGGGACTTGGGTTGTGAGCTAGGGCAGGAAGGGACTGTGATCTGGGGGAGGGGATTGAGGTGCTGAATCTCGGAGGGAGTATGGATGCAGGAGGGGGACAGGATTTGGGAATATGGATTGGGGGGGCAGGAGAGAGGGCAGAGGGTTGGGGAAGGCAGGGGCTAGGCTTTGGCCAGGAAACTTACCAGCCAGCACCCCGTTCCTGAATCCACCTCCTTGCCTGTCCTACTCCCACACCTGCATTGGTTGCAGCCATGTTCTCTGTGAATAACTATGAGCCTCTTTGTGCTTTGTGGCTGCCTGTTATTGAAACAGGAAGCTCCCATTGGCCAGTTTCTTGTCAGAAGCCAGCCAGTGGGATTGTGCTGGGGCGAGAGCAGCTCCTAAACCTTTCCCCCTCCCTTCTGGGCTTAGTTTTTAAAGTGAAACTGCCCTGCAGTCACATTTCTGAGCAGTATGAGGGTGGGGCGAGGCAAGTGGGGATCCTGCCTGGAGCTCCCCGCAGCATCTGTAGACCAGATCCAGTGGTTTGGTGGGCCAGATCAGGTCCGCGGGCCATATTTTGCCCAGGCCTAATCTAGCCTTAGAACCCTGAGATGCCAGGATGGAGCAGCATTCTAGGGAAGTGGCCCAGGGAGCAAACTAGTAGAAGACAGCAGAAACCAGTAGCAGGCAACTGCTACTTACAGGGTCCCTACAGAGACTAGAGGAATGGATGGGCCTGGATTCCCCCAACTCTCCATATCCACAGTAAGAGGGCAAAAGAAGCCTGGTCTCCAGCAGATCGACAGCCAGAGAAAGTATGAGACCCCCTCAGCCACAGAGTGGTGCTCACTTGAGGGTGGACCTCTGCACAAAGATCTAATGTGCAACTGACTTGGGGTAAGTCCTTTGGGACTGGGAGTGTCCGGAATATTGTGATTTTTTTGGTATAAGGAACCACCTATCACCAAGGCAAGTTTGCATAGGTGGCAAGAAAGACTGAAATGCCCAAAGGGCCTGTTTGTGACTCCATGGCGAAGCAGTTACAGTACCTAAGGAGTTTACACTTGATCCTTGGTTGGTGAGCTCTACGTATACTGTATATTTACAAGCAGCGTGGATTGGTGCCCTGTTTCTAAACAGTCTGCCTTGAGGTTGGTACTCATGCTCTTAAGCCTCTCCAGACAGCTCAACAAGGTTCTTGCCTCTGAGATGTCTGCTCCTTGTGTTGATGCATTTGCTTGTTGCACTGAAGCTGCTCACTGATGGGCTGCAGAATGACTGAAGTGTGTTTCAGTGGAATTTTTTCCCTTTGGTTACAGTAGGTGGAGCATCAAGCTGTTTTGGCAGGGCAAGATGTTAAGTCAGTGTTGCAAGCACTATTTGAAATCCCAGGGGTGACTCCCGCCCACTTCTAAAAGCCCCTCCCCTAGCCTTGTGGGATGGACCACCGGACCTGGGGCTCAACTAATTTCTTGGGACAACTAATAAAAAGAAACGGATCTGGTCAAAGGTTTAAAACAAGGGAACCAGATAGGGGCACTGAGCAGAGAACCCCGGACAGTGCTTGCTGCTCCTCAAAGCTGTCAATAGAGCCAGTGGATGCGGCCCAGAGGAACTCTGCCCAGATACATGATACAAGGGAGGAATGGAAATAGGCCCCACAGTCGCAGAGACCCCCTTCGCCTAGCATCCTCCTCCTGGTATTATAGATAGCGGCTTTCGCCAGGGCCAGGAGGAGGTTGATGAGGAGGTCTCGCGACTTTGTGGGCATGCATATATATATATAATGTGAGGAGAAAAGTGTTTTTAAAAGGGATTGCTGGCAATACACAGGAGAATAGAAAGACAGTAAGGGTATGTCTAGACTACATGCCTCTGCCGACAGAGGCATGTAAATTAGACATACTGTCATAGTCAATGAAGCGGGGATTTAAATATCCCGTGCTCCATTAGAATAAAAATGGCCGCCGCATTGTGCTGGCTCAGCTGCTTGTCAGCACAAAGCGGCAGTCAGGACAGGGATCGGTCGGCAAGGAAAGCCTTTGCCAAACAATTCCTTATGCCTCGTGCAACGAGGTTTGCAGGATCGGTTGGCAAAGGCTTTCCTTGCCGACCGATCCCTGTCCTGACTGCCGCTTTGTGCTGACAAGCAGCTGAGCCAGCACAATGCGGCGGCCATTTTTATTCTAACGAAGCAGGGGATATTTAAATCCCTGCTTCATTGACTGACGGTATGTCTAATTTACATGCCTCTGTCGGCAAAGGCATGTAGTCTAGACATAATCTAAGAGTACTTGAGAAAAGAAGGTCTAAACCAGGGGTCTCAAACATACAGCTTGGGGCCATCTGCAGCGAGGAGTGTGTGTGTGTGTGTGTGTGTGTGTGTGTGTGTGTGTACGCGCGCACGCATGCAATCTTCCCAAAAGTCCAGCCCCTGCTTCGCCCTCTCCCCACTTCCTGCCCCTGTTCTGCCCTCTCCCCCCATCACACTCCTTTCCTCAAGCCCAGCCTTGGGAATTAATTGGAGGTCTGATGAAGGATAGCAGCAGGGTTTGGTGGTGGTGGGAGCTTCTGGGGAAGTGGAGCAATGCAGCAGCCTCTGCTCTGCTGTCATCTTGCAGGTCACTCCACTTCGCTGTAGCAGCAGAAAGAGAAGTGTCTCCACCTCAGTGCGGGCTGCTTCCCCATAGCTCCAGTTTTCACCATGAGGCTACGGCTACACTGTAGTTTTCTTCCAGAAAAGCTTATGCAAATGAAGCGAGGCGTGGAATATTGCCGTGCTTCATTTGTGTAATTAATTAGCAGCCGCTTTTGCGCAAGAGGCTTTTGTGCAAAAAGGAGGAAGTCAGCGCTTTTGCGAAAATTCAAGCAGCCAGTGTATACAGCGGGCAAGTTTTTCCAGAAAAGCGGCTGATTTTCCGGAAAAACTGGCCAGTCTAGACACAGCCTTTAAGTTTTATGAGGAAAAAGAATGCAATGGGTCACATTCTCTCCTAGCAAAACTCTATTGAATTAAAGAGAGCTATGCCAACAAAAAATTTGGTTCAATAATTCTAACATTTAACAAGAATGGATAAAAGCAACCCTTTTATAATAGAGTTTGAATAAATAATGATAAATAATCCTTTGGGCATACTTTTTCACCTAATCAGTAAAGACAAATAATACGGTTAGAAAAGCACGATTCAGATTCTAGATGATAGCAGATGATCTGTTTTATGTACAGTTTCATTGAACTGTCTGTGCAATTCTCTTCTGCTTTTCTTCCTTTTTGATCTTGTTCCAGGATTCTTAGAGTGTCTGTTGTTCTGACAGAGAATCTTCATGAGTGTCCTTCAAGATTTTTCCACCTTATCCTATTTTTGATCGCAGAGGTATTCTGCTGTCTCTTAATATAGATGGCGATGTGACCAATGATTTAGCAAGATAGTGCATGAATTGTGTTGCACCATTAAAATCCTTGTATTTTTAAAATGCTAAGTTGAGTTGGTCCCCATACCCAATGGAACCTTTCACCGTATAAATGTCTTGTACTGGTCACTTCACACAATTTTACTGCTGTTTGTACAAGAACCTTCTCCTCTACAGCTCTTGCCGTATGAACAGTCTTGTTTCTCTGTCTTATCAGGTATTTGAAAAGAATTAAAGATGATCTGAAAGCATACCTTCTTTCCCTTGACTACACCTTTTTATTTTCTCTTTTTATTGTTAGCTTGTTGAGCTTTGTATTGCACCCTATCAGGCATATTAAAGTAAAGATTGTAGCAGAGATGTCACTTAAAATTTATTATTGATGAGATTTTACAGTGGCAAGAGATTCAGCATATGGATTTGTTTTCATCTGAAAATAATGCATGCTAACCAGGATTTAAAGTACTTTCATATTTCTTCATTTGCAGTGACAGTACTATGAGGTTTATTCACAATAGACATTGGGTAAATGGTGTAAATCCTTTGATGTATCCTGTTATATAAGCCTTTATTGTTTAGGGATCCTTAGACTTGTTTTAGATATCTTTATATTTAATTTAATGTTGGCATTGTAATGTATTCTTTGGAGACTAGCTCTGATATTATTTCATTTCTCTTTGAGTACAGAATTTCTAACATCATGAACGTGGCATTGTTTGACATTATAATTCTGTGCCTCTATACATGCATTGAAAACACTATGCAAATGTAACTGATTGAGAACATGGAATATAATGACTGTGAGATATTCACAGAATTTCAGGGAGACACTATGGTGATAATTTGATTATTTAAGAATTACTTTCAAAGTATGAAAATGACAGTGGTCACATTTAAAGTCCACGGGGGGTCGAGAGAGAAAGTTTTGTGCCAGAACTACATTTCATCAGTTCAGTTATTTTCTTAAAACTTTAACTTTTTTCAACTACCTTACTACAGCATGTCGTCGTAAATATTCAGACTTGTTTGGAACTGCTTTGCATTCAGGAGAATGTTCTATGGAACAGCCAAGCTCGAATAACTTTCAAAGTGGTTTCAACCTGACCTCTAGATTTTTATGCCTAAAATTGTACACTTCCATTTTGTACCCTTTCTAGTACCAAAATTTTGTTTTCCTTCATTTTTGTAATTATTTTTTGCATGTGCAAAAAACTCTGGTGTGGGTGTGTAGGAGATATTTGAGTGTGCAAACTGGATAGTTAGGGACATAATTATTCAGAAATTAATGTGAAAATATTCTATACTCAAATGTTGTAGTTCACTGCATGCGTAAGAAAAAGACATGCAATTTTAGACGCTCTTATTTTGATGCCCTTCCACTTCTTTGGCTCACACTCTGACTTTTCTTGGGTAAGTTTTAGCTTCTGTAGGTTGAGTTTCTGGAAGTTTCATTGCTGAAACTTTCAGAAGTCTTTCATGTTATGAGAAAATATATTGGTTGAACACATATATTCACTCTTCCTTTTTCTCTTTCTAGGTTGAAGAAATTGTTGATGTAGGAACATTTGCTCCAGAAGATATTCACATTCCAAAGATCTATGTGCACCGTCTCATAAAAGGAGAGAAATATGAAAAGAGAATTGAAGTAAGTGGTTCAGCTTCTTGGTCACAATGTGGGTTGACTCAGGATAAATTTTATAAATTACTAAATTTCTGCTTGACCATTAAACTGTAACCATGATAACCTAATATGAGAGAGATTCTGTAAGGGCCACATAGTGCAGGAAATTGGGGTGGGGGAAGAAGTAATTGTTATGGATTTCCCAAGTGGCAACTGGCTTCAATCTCTGCATAAATTAGGGGAGCTCCTGGACTTGTCTAATTTAGGACAGCTGGTTATGGTCCCTAAAGAACTGTATATCTGCTGAAAAACTGGAGGAATGGCTCTGAACCTTACCCCTTCTATACCATGCTCCCTCCTCATCCTGACATATCACTTTCACTGGCAGCATGGGCAGTCATTGATGAAGGAGCCAGCTCTGACACCTTTAGAGCAGGGGAGAGTTATCTCCCACTCTCAGTGCAATGCCGGGGACATGTAGAACCTGGGCCCCATAGAGCGAATTTGTCCCTATATTCATATTTGAGGTGAAGAGTCTTGGAGCGAGGGGAGTGAGCAGCAGGATGGCACTCTAGCCCCACTACGCTGCGGTGTTGGTGGCGAGACCCTCCCACCAGGTTGTATTAAATCACCCGGGGCAGCAGGTGGCTGGCAGATGAACTGGGGGGAAGCACATGGTGCAGCAGGTGGGCCATGGACACATGAGGAGGGGTACTTTGGGGCAGCAGGTATTGATAGGAAGAGACCCAAGCCTGGGTCCCACCACAGGCCCATACAACTTGCTGCCTATGCGTGCGTGTGTGTGTGTGTGTGTGTGTGTGTGTGTGTGTGTCTCTCTCTCTCTCTCTCTACCTCTACCTACCTACCTACCTACCTAGCTAGCTACTTACTTTAAAAATTACAACTGGTGGCATTTTAGTTGACCACAAGGAAAGCAACTATTTCATTGCTTCACTTAAAACCAAGCTAGAAAGACTTGCCCTGCTTGGCTTCTCTGGTGTCACCTACCAGGAGCAATGTCTCTGAGTTCAATTTTGTGGTATGATGGCTCTCTGGAAGTTCAGTTAGACATTTCCTGTGCCGGAAATCTTATAGTAGGATGTAACACACTTTCAATATTTCTTTGTGGTCATAAATAATGTTTTTGGCTATATTTAGTGGTTATATTGATGGAAGTGAAAAGTATGAAGGGAAAAAAGGTTGACAACAAAAATGTGCAGCCATTGAGGTAAACAATGATACCATTCTGCTAGAAATCAATTTTATGTCCCCACCATATAATCCCAAAGGATTGGAAAGCCGTAAGACTCTTCTTGAGTAAATGCTTCCTGGGGTAAGCCTCCTAGAGCACCTCAAGCAAGATGATAAATCTCAGCTTTCTTTGCCGCCAGGTTATTCTGCAGAAACTTGGTGTGTCACTGGGTATCTGACTGGAACCAGATACCAAAGATCTTACTCTATGGCACTTTATATTAGAGAGCAGTTACCAGTTCTCACCTTTTAAGACATGGGCTATTACATCCACTCACAAGCTTTTATCTTTCTATAAACATATTGATTTTGCTTTAGTTTGGCTTCAGGGGGTCACCTCTTCTTTCTAGTACAGCATCTCCATACAAATGATGCTTGACTTCTTCTCTTATTTGCTGTCTACAGTGGGGGTGCTCTTAGGCCAGGAGATTAAGCCAAGTCTTTAACAATAAGCCCTCATGTTACTACACTTACCCCCATTTTACACCCTTTACAAAGTTTTTATATAATATACAATAAAGGCTGAATTTGGTCTATTGAGTTTTGTAATTCTAGTTGTGATGCATCTCACCAGAAAGAAATATTGCAATGAAATTGCAGTTACTTATTTACTGTCTTACACAGAGCATATAAAATAGTACTTGGGTGTTTCTTGTTACATTTTGAGCATAAATTGGATCAGTCATTATAGTTTCCAGTGGAGTGTTGGGAAAGGATTCCAAGATAAAACAGCTTTAGCATGCTGGGAAAATGATAGTATGTTATTGTTCTAATCATGCTGCAAGAATGACATTCATACCACTATACCTCTTGTGATGGTGGTGGTAGGGAGTGGAACGGGAGGAAGGAGAGGAATAAATAAAGCTAGCTTGTCATACATTTACTATTTTTAAATGCACAGTTTGCTTTTGCTTAGTTGGACTTTCTGACTTTCTCTGACTTTACTGCAAAGGTAGGCAGTAAGCTGGAGGCAGTTCAGCCAGGGTTAGCCTGTGATGGGCCTCTGCTGCTTTATTTACCTGCACCCCTCATCTTCTTCATATCTGCACAGCATCTTCTGTTGGCTGTGGATCACCGTTTCTGGCCAATGGGAGCTGCAGGAAGTGGTGCAGAGCAGAACACCATATTCCACAGCTACTATGAGCCAGGAATGTCGATCCACGGCCAGTGGGAGTTGCGAGTGCCTGTACCCATGGAAAAATTTAAAAAAACCAACAAATAGTCTAGTAGCACCTTAAATACTAACAAAACATGTAGATGGTATCATGAGCTTGGGTGGACACAACCCACTTCTTCAGATGACCGAAGTGTTGGAAGTCCAGAGCCAAGAATAAATAAGGAAAGGAGGCTGGGGGGGGGGAGGGGGAGAGGAAAAAAAATGAAGGGGTGGAAGAAAAAAAGAGACCGTGAGTAGATAAGCTTCAGAGGGATAGCCGAGTTATTCTGTAACAGGAAAGACTTGAAAAACAACAAAAAGTCTAGTACAGGGAGTGGGCAAAAGGGCCTTGGTGGGCTGGATTCAGCCTGCCAAGCGGGTGGATCTGGCCCATGAAGGCCCTGCTGCTCCCCCGCTCCCAGGCCAATTAGGGCCTGGGGGTGGGGGAGCATGCAAAGCCTTCTCCACTCTCCCCCCACCCTGCAAGCAGTGCACAGCTAATTGGCCTGAGGACGGGGGAGCACATGAAGCCTCCTCCCACCCTGCCAGGAGTACGTGGTGCTGTGAAGTGCTGCGTGCTGTTCGCAGAGCAGGGGGAGAGCAAGGAGGTTTGTGCACTCCCCTGTCCCCAGAACCTAATTGGCCTAGGGACAGGGGAGCGAGGGAAGTCTCCTCCCATGCCAGGGGCATGGGCATCTTGGGGGAACTTGGGGTGGGGACAAAGGCGCTCCCTAACCCCCAGACCAACCTGGAAATCTCTTGGCCCCGCCCCTTCTGCTCGATGCCCCGCCCCTTCCTGTGCGGCTTGGGGCCACTTCAGAAATTTCTGAAGTGGCTCCCAGCAAAAAATGATTGCTCACCCCGGTCTAGTAGCGCCTTAAAGACTAAATAGTTACAAGAGGCTGATAAGAACCATTAGTTTGCACTTGGAAAGAAAAATGACCAACACCAGATTCTACACAGACTTCAAGAATCATTAGCACCTTCATTGTTTGGTTGGTTGATAATGTGCGAGCCATCCGATATCACAATTCACACCATTTGCTTGAGAATTAAACTTGTGAATAAAGTTAAGTTCCAATCCTTCTCTATGTATTTGGCTTGTAGAATTGTTCTAAAACAAATCAGCAACTTGGAGATCCATTAATGAGTGTTCAGAAATATTAAAGTGTTCTCCGACAGGTTTCTATGTGTTGTCTTTTCGGATATCTGATTTGTGTCCATTAATTCTTTCCTGTAGAGATTGTCCAGTTTGGCCAATGGGCATTGCTGGCATCAAATGCTAGCTGGCATCAAACTGAAGAATTAATGGACACAAATCAGACTTGGGTCTCCAAGTCACTGTTTTGTTTCTGTGTAGAATCTGATGTTGGTCATCTTCCTTTCCAAGTGCAAACTAATGGTTCTTATCAGCCTTTTGTAACTGTTTAGTCTTCAAGGTGATACTAGACTATTTGTTGTTTTTCAAGTCTTTCCTGTTACAGAATAACTCGGCTATCCCTCTGAAGCTTATCTATTCACTGTCTCTTTTTTTTCTTTCCTCCCCTCCATTTTTTTCCTTCTCTCCTCCCCCCTTCTTCCCTTACTTATTCTTGGATCTGGATTTCCCTTACTTATTCTTGTCATCTGAAGAAGTAGTTGTGCCCATGAAAGCTCATGACACCATTTGCATGTTTTGTTAGTCTTTAAGGTGCTACTAGACTATTTGCTGTTTACGTTTCTCCCGTTACAGACTAACTCGGCTGCCCCTCTGAAGCTTTTGTGCCTGTGGAGTTGCAGATAAAGCGGCAGTAGGCACCCAGGAGCTAACCTTGGTGCACCATGTCTGGCTCACAAGCCAGGTATTGCCCACCACTTCTGTAATGGGAATGCCCTTAGTGTACTTTGCTCTAGGCATTCCTTTTTCCATGGAAGAATTCTCCAGCACAAGGCAGGGGCCAATCTGTGAACCCTTTCACTTCCTGCATAACCAGCAAGTGAAATCATGAGTTTGAGATTCAAAGACAGCAATGAAATGCTCCACCATTCTGCAAAAACACACCTTCCTTTGGCAATTTAGGTAAATTTAACTTTAAATCCCACTGATGTTTTACAATGTATGCCGCATGTATTTAAAGTGCCTACACTGAGTGTACATTACAATTCAATACAGCTTTTCTGAATTAGAGGAGAGAAATCACTTGGAACTTATACAGAATTGCCAGGTTGGATCGGACCTGAGGTCCATCTCAGCCATTGTTCTGTCTCTGCCAGTGGCCAGCACCAGATGTTTCAAAGAGGAAGCAGCCATGGGTTAAAAAGTAAAAGTGTTTTAATCTAAACATGGATTTTATGTAACGACTAAGTTCCCACTAAAATCCCTTCTGCTCATGTAAAACCTACTGGCTTGAAACGTGGATAGGTAAAGGACAAAATTTCAGAAAATATATTTTGACAGACATTTCACAAAAGAACGGTACTGTTCTTGACTGCAAACTGTTCCTCATGGAAAAGGCTTATAGAATTTAATACCATAACTTTTATAGAATTGTAGAGCCAAGCTATCATATTCCATTGCAGGGATAATATTGTCTAATAAATTCTGTAGGCTACTGAAAAATGTGTATAGAAGGATCTCATTTGTTGTTAAATTGTATTAGGGTTTTTTTTGGGGGGGGGGGATCAGGGGGAGAGTAATACTTCATGTAGACCCCAATTGGCTTTGTTCTTATAATAGTCTAAGACCTTTTGCCTGAAGTCTCACTTCAGCCATCAGCCTGACTTTTATGTCCTCGCAGAACAAGAATCTTAACACCAGTTTGTCTTTAACAATGTCTTACTTTGTAGCGATTATCCATCCGAAAGCCTGAAGACTCAAAAGGCAAACAAAAGAAGGAAGGAGATAATGTGAGAGAGAGGATCATCAGGCGAGCAGCTTTAGAGTTTGAAGATGGCATGTATGGTATCCTCCAGCAATGCTGTAGGTTAAAGAAATGAGATTTGCTTCGATAAAATAGTGACCACAGCTGTTACTCTTGGCACAAGTTTGTTACTATCTTTACTGTCCACTACAGTACCTGTGGTTCTATTATTATATTGATATGCTATTGACATAGATGGAATGTTAAGGCATGCTATATGAGATGTTCTTCCTGGGTATAACTGGAATGTTCAATGGCAGTCAAGTGATTAATTGATATTTCTTGAAAAAGAACGTAATGAGTATTAAATGAAGCTTGTTTAGACATTAGGAGGGTAGCATCTGAACAAAGGCAACTAGGAAGTCCGAACAACAAAATAATTCAGCACAACTCTTGATGTGTATATTTGAAAAGCTGAATAGTTTGAAAAGAAGGGCTCTGATCACAGCGTAATTATGATTTTCTTTATAATTATTGTAAGTGAATACATTTTCTAGTTGTACCTTGACCACTTTACTTCAGCTAATCTGGGCATAGGAATTCCACTGTTGGCCAGCAACTTCATCAGTCCAGACATTTCAGTTCATCTGCAGAGTGAAAATGGAGTCCTGGGCTTGGTAAGTGTAGGGTCAGTAAAGGTTTATGTAATGTCCTTATATTGATTTGTTGTTCTCCCCCCCCCCCCCCCAAAAAAGCTAGTTATACTTTGAGCTCAAAGAGCTGCTATGTAAGGTGCTGATCATTCTTGCTTAAATACGTACTTCAGCACATGCTTACTTGAGAGAGATGCCAGTAGTCCTGTTGAAGTTAGGGGACTGATTACAATTCTAAAGTTAATAATGTGTTTAGGTAAAGGGCTTTGCTGGATTGATGCAGGATGCTCAGCACCTTGCAGGATCAAACTCTATAAGTGGTTTTTTAGTTAGACATTGTACATAATTTTAAACTAATATAATCTATGTATGTCTATTTTACTATAGTGATATTTTTAAGTAGAATCTGGGTGTCTATAACTTTAAGAAATTATAATCACCTTTAGTAATGTGTTCTCAAATAAAAGTGGTATACCACACAAAAAAATCCAGATGTATGATATATTTATTTTGAGTCACAAATATTAGAATTAAAAAAAGAAAATATGCTATTCTGGACCACTGATAAATATTGAGATTGTGTTTTGTTGACAGGGTCCTTATCCACTTGAAAACGAGGTAGATCCAGACCTGATTAATGCAGGTAAAATAATTCACATACTTAACTTCTGTTTGTAATTGATTCAACATACTTTATTTGATTAATACTAAACCAGAACACTGGTGCAATGTTACTTTTAAATATGTGATGTTTTGCCTTTTTTTCATACTGACATTTTCAGTGATAATGAGTTTTGCTCATGAGTGACCAGTAATATTTTAGCTAGTCAGCTTGTGTTGACAGTTAGAGGCTCTTTTTTAACTTGAGCAGTGAAGTTTTGTGGGGGGTTTTCTCTTTTGATGCAAAAGATCCTTAAACCTGTTCCCAAATTCAGCATGTAGACTTTGTGATGTCTGTGTGCACATTGATTTGCTCCCACTATATTTCCTGAGTTGTTGGGAGGTGCTAGAAATTGTTCCCATTGACTCATAGGCACATTTGGAAAAATTCCTGGCCTTCTGTCACTGTGTATTTTATATCTTTTCTTCTCATTATTGAGTGATTATATCTTTGTGGAGGGGATTAAGCAGCTCTTCACTGATCTTCCTTGAATATTTGGAGTAGATACCTCCATCTGCAATTCACCCATCTGAGCTTCAAGAAACCTCTCACATTCTTTGGGCTAGAAAAAGTGGTCATGCAACTTTGAAATGAGAGAACTAGCTAGCTTTGTTTGTTTGTTTGTTTTGGGTGAGGGGAAGGTAGTTTAGTTTCACAATACAAAGTTATGCAAATCCTTGCAGTTAATTCAGTTCTGTTTAAACACATGCCTTGCTTTCACTCAGGGATCCATTAGGGCAGAGACTGCATCCATATAGACTACTGTAGATTAGAGTGTTAATGAAACTGTATGGCCACTGGCCCAGGATAGTGGAGCCCAGTGCAGGATCAAGTATTTACATCTTGCATTATAGAAAGGGCATTTCCTAATATAGGTTGAACCTCTCTAGTCAAGAACTCTCTGGTCTGGAAACATCCATGGTCTGGAATATTAATTAGCTGAATATCCACTTTTCATGGGTGTGGCCAAGTTTCCTGCGGTCCCATAAAGTTTGTTTAGTCACCAGTCCTGGCCTTTGCTGTTCTGTGCTGTTGTTTAGCTCTAATTTACTCTCTAAGGCTATGTCTACACTGGCGACTTCTTGTGCAAGAAGTCTTGCGCAAGAAAACGTCCACACTGCCATATGCGAGCTGTGCTTTTGTGCAAGAGCGCCCATAGCAGTGTGGACGCTCTCTTGCACAAGAAAGCTCTGATGGCCATTTTAGCCATAGTGCTTTCTTGCACAAGAAATCCCTGCCGAGCATCCACACTGCCCTCTTGCGCAAGAGCTCCTGCGCAAGAGGGCTTACACCTGGTGATAAAGAGCGTAGTGCTTGCACAAGAACCCTCTCTTAACACGCCGTACTGTAAATTTCCTTGCGCAAGAGCGGGTGGGCAGTGTGGATGCTCTGCAAATTCTTGCACAAGAATGGCCATACTTGTGCAAGAAGCCGTGAGTGTAGACATAGCCCAAATGTCCTCTTAACAGTCCAGCAAGCAGTGGAAGTGCTGATAATGCTGTTAGACAATATTGACCTCCCATGGTCTGGAAAATTATCTGGTTCAGAATCAGTCATGTCCTGAGGGTGCTGGACTAGAGATGTTCAACCTGCAATATAGATCTCCCTCTCTTTAACCGATTGTTAGCTGGTCCAGCTAAACTGAATAGCCAAAATGAGATAAACCACTGACATTTAAACAAGCTTATAATTTAACTTAGCTGTACACTCCGGCAATTGCTCACTGACTTGTAAAAACATTTGCTGCCTGGCTTAATTAATTGATTCTGTTATCATAGTGTTGTTTTTCCCACTTTGAGCAGTGCCATTTCTACAATATTAATTATGAATTATTTCAGCACCTAACACAGTTTCACCAACAGCTGGCTGTTGAAATACTTTACTTGGGGAAGATTTTCCAAGGCACAAATGAGAGTTTAAGTGCCCACCTTTGAAAATTTCTGTGTGCGCATACACTTGAGTTAATTCTTGAGATTAATTTTATATTTTTTAAAAAAATAAATGGGGCAAAATTGTTCTCTACAAATAATTCATCTTAAATTGACAGTGATAATCACAGAACACAGGTTGGACCTCCTTGGTCTGGCACCCTGGGAACCTGAATGGTCCTGGATGAGGGATTTTGCTGGACCAGGGAAAGTCATTTCTGGGCCCACCCCTATCACCAGACAGCTTCCCCCTGTCACTGGCCCCTCTGCATGTGAGGCTCTCAGCCCCACCATGGCAGCCCCACCGTTGGCATGCACATCTCCACTGCTGGGCTTCCTCCCTTCAGGGCATAACTCCTAGGAATGATGAAACCTGAGTTACAAGAGGGCATGCATCCCAAATGGTCTCCCTGGCCATTCCCTCCTCTGTTTGGATTCAGCCAGGGCCACTTATGATATCTTTATCTGGGTCCCTGCCCTTTGTTGTAACCACTTCTGGACATCCTTTGAGATGCTTGTTGCTTAGCTCTGGCTCTCCACTGATGGGGAATTCTTGGAGAACCAGCTTCAGGATTGGGGTGACACAGCCAAAGCAAAACCTTTTTGATCCAGGCAGTTGGTGTGCCTAAGGCACAATCCTCTCCTTTTATACCCCTCTGTCAGAACAAGGGGAATAGCTTGGTCTTCCCTTTGGACCTTTCTCCACCACCCTTCTATCCTGTCACCTGAGCAGCTGAGGAGTAGATGCATGCTGTGCTAATTCCAAGCCAGGCAGAAATGATGTCTTCTCCATCTTATTTGTATTCTCACTTGCAGCAGGTGTTTGATTTCCCTGCCCTGATGTAGCTATAGTTGGCAAAATCAAAGAGAGGGAGTCACTGAAAGGTGGGGGTTAGTCCATCATTAGCCATCTAATCAGCGACAACCCATGCTGAAATTTGTGTACCTCTCTGAGAGAATGTTATGACATAAATTATCATTGTGAAACAGCAATATCGTATAATTTCAACTTTCTTCTCTTCCTCCTACCTTTTTCTCACTTCAGTGTTTCTAGCTCTTTATTCACCATCATTTTTTCTTAGTGTCTTCTCTTTGATTCAGTTTTTAAAACACTTTTTAATTATGGTTCTCCCTTGTTCTCGCTAATCCCTTTCCCCCATTTTTACATTCATTCTTCCCCAGGGATCTTTTATTAATCTCTCTGCTTCCTTCAATTTCTCACACCTAGCTCCATCCACTCTTCATTGCTTCAATCCACTCACAGCCATAGTCCCCTGCTTCACACATCCCCTCAGTAAGGCAGGCAAAACAATACTGGTCTTGCTTCAACAGAAGTGTTGCTTTGAGGCATGAACAGGAGTGGATCGAGGCTGGCTGCAGCAGCTGGCGCCCTATGTGGAAGGTGCAATCCGCACCCCCACCTGCATGGCCGTCAATGGCCGTGACATAATCACAGGGCGCCCGGTGTCATCATCGGGTGCCCAGGACGGCAGCGCCCTAGGCAACTGCCTAATTTGCCTAGGCTCACAGGCCACCCCTGGGCATGAATAAGGCCTAGTGCTAGCTCTAGGTTTAGGTCCTTCAAGCCTTCCATGTGATTTGTCATCTGAGTGCTGGAGAATGATCATCAGGCGATTTAGTGGGTCTTAACTATCCCAGGTCCCTTGAGCTGTTTTTACAGAGTAACTGCCCCCCTCCCAATAATTCCAAAAAGTTTACACCATAAATGTGGACAAAGTCTGATGGAGTTTGACATGATGGAGATCCCTTCCTACTGGATTTTCCTAAAGAACATCAGTTCTGTAAATATAACAGCCCATTTCTTTTACAGGTAAAGAGACAGTCACCGTTCTTCCAGGTTCCTCCTATTTCTCTAGTGATGACTCATTTGCAATGATTAGAGGGTATGTAAGAGAACACCTAATCTTAAAATACTGAACAGAATTGAATGAATCACTGACTAACTCATTAGTAATGTGCTGCAATGTGATTATCATTTAATAACCTGCAAATCTATTGTGGATATTCAGTGAAAACTTACAGAAAGAGTAGTTCGGGCTAGCTGAAATATTCAACTGGCTGTTACTGATAGATACCATAAGGATGTTTGTGGCTAACACCACTTGGTTGTATGTAAACACATTCATAACAATGGTTTAAACAACTACTTTTTAGTGATTTTTCTAGGAATCTAGTCTGTACTTGCACGCTGTTAATTCTCTTTACTCAACTTGTGTCTGCAGTCCTGATTTTGCCTCTCTGATGGAAATTCACCATCTGCACCTGCTTGTTTGTTTTTTGGAGAGGAGGTTGGATACAAACAAACACTAAACCCTAATGGCTCTGAGAAAATAATCAGTGCATGTAAATACGTGAAAGAGTGCATTTAAAAATGTGAGTTCAGAACTGATTTACTGTGAATGCAGTTAACCAAAACCAGACAAAAATAAGAATATTTTAGAAGCTCAGAAGACAAAGAAATCTCCATTGGTGCTATGTCTAGGGAGAAACAGTGTATGTGTGACAAACTGCTCAGTTTCTCTGTTGTTTTAACACCATTTTTAGAAGTTTTATATTGATTAAGACAGTGAGCACATAACTTGATTGGATTTGTGGGCTATTATTTTAACATTATGTTAATTGCACCCTGTCTTTTACCAGAGGTCATGTTGATTTGACAATGCTTGGAGCAATGCAAGTGTCTAAGTATGGTGATCTGGCCAATTGGATGATACCCGTAAGTAAACATTTATACCATAAGTGCACTTACTTTAGAACAATAAAAATTTATTTTTCCTAGCATCTTTCATAACAACTGTGTTCTGAAACTGCAAATTCTAAACTGATAGTGAGTGGGAGAGATTGAGGTGAAGAATACCTAACTTTCTTCAGTTAGTTATTTTTAATAAGTGTTCAAAAACTGGAGATTTGAAGAGCTTTGGAGACATTTGATAATGGAACCATTGCACCGGTTACACAATTTTTGTTCAACATAGAGTTCAGAGAGAATTTCAATGAGAAGACACATGTACAGTTTCTTTAAATCTGTGGCAAGAAGACAAGCACAATGGAATGAATTTAGCTAGAAACCAGGTTGTGTGGCAGAAAAAAAATAAAAGAATGTGTGCAGCTTTAATGTCAGTATTCTTTTCCTTCAATATTTCCAGCTTCTAGCAACCAAAAATCTGGAATCAGGACCCCAAAACTGATTTCGTGCTAAAAAGAATGAGATTTTGCAATCCTTTTATTTGCCTTCTAGTTTTTGAGCTGTTAGGGTTTCCCTTTTCAAAATTTTCTATGAGTATTAGAGATTTCTGCATTTCATTTTCAGTAACTCTCAAGGACAACATCAATACCAGTAGGGAGCAAAGAATGTCTTACTAAAGAATGTCTAACTAAAGAGAGACAATATAGGGTTCGAAGCTGATAGGAAAGAAGACAAACCTACAACCAACAGTCAAAGCAAATTCTTTTTGTATGGAAACTGGAGATACTTTTTTTTCAGCCAGGGATATCTTAGAAAGTTGGACATATTTTGGGAAGAGCATAGAAGGTTTACATCAGTATATATTAAGACCACTGCTTCTGGCTGAATCCAAGTAAAGCCAAAATATTACACTCTGGTGATTGTCCTGTGATTGTTTTTAAACTCATTTGTCTTTTCAGTAGTCATTCAATTGCCATGTGATGGACTAAAAACATCCAAAATAAATAATAAACTCAGCCTCTTTGGAAAGGTGGAGAATACTGTGAAAAAGGGGAAAGAATCAAATTTAGTCCCAATATGATTCATGATCTGTACCAAGATGAGATCTGCACCAAATAACTTCTTAACTCTTTTTAGAAATACAATGGACTGAAGCCCAATATAGTTAACATTAGAATATGGAGGATTTATTTATTACAGATATGTTTAGAGAGTTTATATTTACTTTTAAAATAAATTTAGAATCTAACTCTTATACCAGAGTTATATTTTACTCAAGATGGTTAAATGATTATCAGTTTGATACTGTAGATACCAGTGTGCTACAGACTGTGTAGGATATCTTTCCTTGTAGTCATCTGATGAACCACTTTTATTTTGTCTTCATACTGAATTAATACAGTTCTAGCAGAAAACCGCATCTTTGTTTTGTAGAGGATGTGACTGTTACATAATGCAAAATGAGCTAATTATTTACCTTCTGTTTTGCAGAAAATGATTTTGGCTCATTGAATTCTGGATTACCAAATGTGTTTAAATTACACACACACAAACATTTTTCATTCTAAATTTCTGCAATTTAAAGCTAACACATTTCTTACTGAAATAATTTTCCTTGATGTAGTTTACTGAAAAAATAATTTTTGTTATCCAATAGGGATTTTTCTTGTTTTGAGGGAAGATATGCTCATCTGAATTTTTGAAATGTGGTTTTTTTTTTAAGTGCAAGTGTTAAAAAACAAACAAACAAAAAACCTGTCTTGGAGTGGAAGATTGCATAGGTCATACATATTTGAATGGGAAATGCATTAAAAGTATAGTATGTAGAAATGATAGATTCCAGTCCATTCTGTGACATGGTGTGGAGTCACATTAGAATTCTGTGAGTACCAAGGGTCTGGACTTGCAAATCCTCATGAAGGATCGGGCAGGGATCTCAAACTCAATTTAACCTAGGGCCAGGGCAAGTCCACAAATCATCCTTGTGGGCCATTGAGCACCCCTCTTTGGCAGGGCTCAAGAGAGGAAGGGGTCTCTGCATGTCCCCTCCCCACATAACTCCCAGCGCTGCCTGCCCCCCGGTGATTTAATCCCACCCTTCAGGGGACCCTTGCCACCATCACCAGCAGCGTAGCGGGGCTAGAGAGCTGCTCCTGGCGCATCTCTGTGGCCCAGGGGAAGTGTGTGCAGAGCCATCCCATCTTTAGGATGTTTTGGGGCAGCCACCATCCATCCTATGGATGGCACATTTCCTCCATATTCAGATTAGTCTGCAGAGCCCTGGGCGGACTGGGGTTGGCAACAGGGATTGGGTCCTCCAGCACTCTCCAGTGGGAGCCATGATGAATGCAAGGGCACGCAACCCCTGCTTCCACCACACAGTGCACCCCCTGGCAATCCCCAAGGCCATGTCCCTCGGGGGAAATGGTGTTTGGGAGAAGGTTGTAATGAGGGACAGAGGACAGAGTAGGGGCAGGAAGAGAGAGAGCAGGCACTGGACTTGGGGAAAAGGTACAGACACGCCCCAGTGCCACAGGAACTCACGTAATGGCAGCTGCACATGGGCCAGATTGTGGAACTACTTGGGGCGTGGGCCATGAATTAGAGAACCCTGGATTAGGGTCATAGTTCAAGAGTTTTTACTAGTGTATGTCACTATTATTACTATTATTATTATTATTTATTATCATTTAGATTGTGCTAAAAGTTTATATCAACAGTTAGTCTATCTGCAGAAGTCTCTCCATATATTTCTTGGTGCTCTATGGCCCATCTGGATTTAAGGACTCAAAAAGTTGCCACATAGGAAGGAGTATTTTCTCTTTGCTCACTTACAGTAGTCTTGTAATGGTACAAGGAGACCAACAGTGTCTACAGCTATAGTGCTTTTGCTTAAGGTGCAATCTGAGGTTTTAATTTTAATCTGGACATTGTTACGGTTAGAGTCCTTAGCCAAATGAACTCTAAGCATTAGTTTATCTTAGACTAATGTTCTTTATTGATACCTTTCAATTGGACAGTCTGTATACTAACACATCTGTGGATTGTGAGCATTAGGGATGTCAATCTATAGTCGACTATACGATTAACTGATCAGTTTAAATGTATTGGTTAATCCTGTCTGCTACCTGCATTCCCCTCTCTTGCTGCCTCTATATCTTGCATTCCCCCCCTCCGCCCCGTTGCTGCCTCTGCATCTCACGGAACAGCCTCTGTCTGAAGTGAGCCTGGACCCTCTGTGTGCAAAGGCTACTTCATGGCAGCAGCCCCTGTCCACTGGGGGTCTGAGCTCTCTGCAGACAGAGGCTGCTTTGATCCCACGAAGAAGCCTCTGTCTTTGGGGAGCTCAGACTCCCCATGGACAGGGGCTGTTGCCACCTCACGCTGCTGCGTCTGTATCAGAGGCGGCAGCGCAGGGCGGCAGGCAACTGATCCACAAGGGGAGCTGGTTTAAATAAGATCATATGTCATCATGATTAGGTAACTTCACAGAGCTCTATATATCCTTTTTGTTGCGAGATTTATGTTGAGTAATATACAGATATATTTTTTACTGCAAGAAGCTAATGATCAAGGGAACTTAAAGTTTCACATTATTGCATCATTTTTCACTTAGCTTTAGATTTTCATAGTTTCATCATTTTTATATGCCCTTAGTCTCTGTCTGGTGGTATTTCCATCAGTTGAAGGCAAGTAATAATCCCAGCCTTCAAGTTTTGAATAAGTATCTTAGTGAAACTTGTCTTGCTCTTCTTTAACAGCTTGATACCACTCTCACACTGCTGCTTAGATATGTATTTGCATACATTCATAATGAGGAAATGAACTAGGAAGGATCGTTAAAATAATTGTAGCCCTTTCCTCCCTCCCTTCTTTAAATGGAAGTGGGGCTCCCATAGCAGTTTTGAGGTAAGAAGAGCAGTATGTTGCCTTGGATACTGGTCTGCTCATGGTAAGGGGGGGGGGGGAGCTTGTTCCTAACCACAGGTTCTTGATGACAGGCTGACTGCATAAAACAAGAAGGTTTATATCCTTTGCCTGCCACATTGACTTTCTTCTTCCCTCAGAGCCACTGATGATATTTGCTTGCCTCTTAAGGTTCCACTTCAGCCCTTCCTCAAGTTTTTTTAGCTCACGCCATCCCAGGCTCATTCCTTAGCATCTCTGAGGTGGGACCTTCACTGCAGGTATTGCTCATACCCTCATCACTGCCGCCTTTCCAGACTGGACTATATCTCCTTTCACTTTGTCTCCATATTGTTTTTACTTCTGCTAGTTTATCTTTTTCTGTTGTCTATTCCAGCATCTCTTTTCTTGGGAATATTTACACCCCCCAATTCTTGTGTTATAGTCTGATTCCTTCTCCCTAATCTTTTTTTCCTGTCTCTGTCTCTCCTCTCTAGCAGTCATCTCTCTCTTCCATGGCTGAGAATCACTCAGCACTTTATCCATCTTCCTCAACAACCCAGCACCCACTTCTCTGTGTGTGTGTCCCTCCCACTTTCTCACCTGCTGTAGCTATCAACCTGGGAGTTTGTAGCTGCAAAAACTATATGTATTCCATTTCCTACAACCTGGAAAAGAGGGATCCCTCCTGGGTGTCATGTCCCAGTGGACCCTTCTCTTAGCCAGTGCAAAGAAACGGATAATGAGAGAACAGAGGAGTTACGATTTTCTCTCCTGATCCAAGGAAATTATGGTTGCTGTCCCTGCATTGCTGCTTCTCCTTCTTACCCCTATGGAATATAAGCTTCAGGTCACCTTACCTTCATTGCTAGCCTCTATACATGCCTGATCTGTGCTTGAGATAGGGAGAGATGTACACATGTGAACACCTCCTGCTGCAACTTGAGTAAGCAGTATCATAACAGTGTAAAAGCACTGATGTTGGTTGCTCCTTTCAAATCCATGATCAGTGCTGGGCTTCAGACACCAGGACTGTTTGATGCACATGTCAGTGGCTTGGATCAGAGAAAGGTTCACTACTTTGCCCCATCTATATATACCCACCACAACTACACTGCCAGTTG